TTTTTAATTAGTCAAAGCTGAAACAAATTCGGGAAATTTTTGGCTTCGGGAAGCGACAGCCAGTGCGGAAACTGTCCGTAATATATTTGTATCATACGAAAGAGACGGAAATTCTCTTTCGAATGATACCACAATTACGTTTTCGGCGAAAATGCGACTTAAGCGGTTAAACGGAGCGCCATGCTAGGTAAGCGGTTGTCCGCAGGCGGGGAGTGAGCTGAGCGCTTGTCCGCTGCCGCCGAGGCGGTGAGCGGTTTCACTTAGAGGGTATCGATCGATATGTCCTCTGCATTATGTATGCGCCCAGCGAAATTAATGTGCTGCAGCGAAAGGCGTCCCTTGGCGGTTGCACCTAGTTCAAATAAGGATAACGACATTAGTAATCCAGTTGCAACCATTTATTTGGACCATGTATGTGTCAAAACGAAATGACCACGAACGTTGCCAGTCCTAGTCGGTTTTCGGAATTGTCTTAGCATGTATCACCCAGCATGCGTAAAGGTTCTCAGCGTTGCCAAACGTGAGTCTGAACCTGTAGGATCCGTAAGGCATGAGTGGAACTTTTGGATTAATCCAGTCCACTGGGGTGTTATTAGCTTCGTAAACTCCCTGTAAATAGAAGCCACCAGTGTCTTGAGATGCATCACTCTTGTATGTTTGTAGCTACAAGGGAGCAGTTTTCACTCTTGAACCAGAAAAAGAAAATACTTGACAAGTGTGGTGATTAGGGTTGGAAATTTCCAAAATTTTCCGGAAAATTTCCGAAAACTTTCCGAAAATATACGGAAAATAACGGAAAACTTTCCAAAATCTGGGAAATTTTCCGTCTTTTCCAGAAATTTTCCAGAAATTTTCCAGAAATTTTCCAGGGCTTCCAACCCTAGTGGTGATAGAGCAGACTTACTGGTTGGATTATGCAGGCGCCTTTATCTTCTCCCTTAAAAATCTGCTTGTAAAAATTAGGACCTTGTTCTTTGCAAACTTGACATGCACCCTTTTTATTAAAGTTAAAGACAAATGCGTTCTCCTTCCATTGATTGTTCGATCGAATATCCAAAATTATTTTCGTCTGTTATATCAAGGGTTTCGTATGTAATCCATTTTCATCTACTTGTAATGCTAAATACTTTGATTTGAAGTGGGTTTGAAAAGTCTTACCCAGCCGTGTTTATCAAGAAGTACATTTACACCCGTCACATTGCCTGTCAAGAGTTGTAACTTTTTTGGTTTATATGGGTTGAAATGAGAACCACGGAGATTTAGTGTCCAGGGAAGAAGGCTGCTGTTTGGTTCGCACATGTAAAAGCGTTCGGAATAAGCAATGTAAGGGCCCTGTTCAAACATAGACGCAGAGCAAATTACATTTGTCAAAGCACACAGATTGGTCCGAATTTGTCCAAATGACACAAGTTTAGTAATGAAGTTAGCCAGTACGTTGCAATGCCACACCCATGCCGAAAAATGATCAGCAACAGTATAGCGACCATCGCATGGTTAATTCAAGAAGCACCACAAAATATGGTTGATGCAACATTATCGTTGTTGTGAAGACCAAAACTATGGTGTTTCCATCACGTTGTCATTATTGTCTCAACCATGTTTTATGCTGCTCCCTGAGCCAACCATAAGGTGCTTGCCATTACCAATCAGTTTTCTGGGTGGACAAATCCATATGATGTGCTTCGTTGTCTTTAGTGAAAGCACATTGTTGACAAAATAGCTCAAATTTCGGAGGGGCCTTGACAAAGGTATCGTCTAACTTACAATCACAGAGTGTATAACTTTGCCGGGGTTGCCCTCCTGGCACACGAGAGCTAGGAGCACGAGTTGGAATGCCAGGCTGGATCCAGCGTTGCGGTTTTTCATGTCTGCGACGATCCCGAACCAATGTGGCTCAGGTATGGGTTCGTTTTGCAGGACCTGGACCCTCCCGGTCGGTGGTCGGAAGTGTTTCTGGCAGTTGCCGTAGCCCAGCACGCGCGGCAGCGTCCTCTCGGAGACAGAGTGCTTATGTCATGCGCGGCCAGCGTCCGGACAGAGGTCAGAGGTGGATTGGCGTGCGGACACAGACCGAGAACAAAGAACGTATTAGATTGGAAGCCGGATATCAAACAACTGGCCCGTTGTTAAAGAGAAAGGGGGGCTTCCGTGTTTTTAGCAGATTTTGTAACATTTTTTTGTAACATTTTACACAACTGAAACGTAAGAAATAACACATCAACTGTGTCGGATTACTGGTACAATCATGCAGCGTGCAGAGAGGTACAAGGCCAGGTCTCTATGGCTTAGATCGGCACGAAATTATTGAAGTGTAAATGAGTAAATGTAAATTATCCAAATATTCGTGCAAGTAATAATTCGGCCCCGTGGACCTCCCACCACTGAAATATTTTAGACTATAGAATATAGACTATAGAATTAAATGAACTGGGGTGCACAGTAAGGTGACATCTTGTCGATTGACGATTTTAGCACGAGAGAGAGGGGGGTGGGGTA